GGCGCAGCTCATCACCATCGGGTTAAGGCAAAGCCCCACCAGCTCCCCCGAGGCACAGGCTCCCTGTCCCACGGGCGCTTCCCTCCCGGCTCTGGAGCGAGTCTCCGATCGGAGTAGCACTAGGCCTGGCTGCCCCACACCCCCAGCCCTCGACTCACCGTAAAATTCTTTCCAAGAATGATGTCCACGGAAAGCGCCAACAGCTTCACGCTGATCGGAGAGGCGTCAGATGGCGGCACCATGGAGAACCTCAGCCGGAGACTGAAGGCAAGTTTTGCGTCAGCTGTAAGCTCGGGCACTCTCGAGCGGAGCGTCAGAAGCTCTGCAAGATCGAGCTGCAAAGCTTCCCGCAGCGCCGGTCTTCCCGCAGCGCCGGCATTGCCGCAGGGCCGGCCTGGCCGCGTTGCTGGTGGTGAGTGGCTCATGGCAGCCAAGCTCTGACCCGCAGAGAAGCGCTGGGGCAGCTGGAGCGCGAGCCCATCGGTTGAAAACCCACCAGCAGCTGCCTGTGGCTTCGCCTGGACTCACGTGAGCTCCTTCCGCAGGTTACGGGCGACCTCTTCGACATCATGTCAGGGCAGACGGATGTGGATCACCCTCTATGCGAGGAGTGCACGGACACTCTGCTAGACCAGCTCGACACGCAGCTTAACATCACGGAGAACGAGTGCCAGAACTACAAGTGAGTGACCGGACGGGACCTGCGACCGAGCTGCTTTAGCCCGAAGCCCAGAGAAAGAGCGCAAACGTGATCACAGAACGGTTTGTGTGGGGAGGGACCTTAAAGCCCACCCAGCCCCCCTCCCTGCCATGGGCAGGGACACCTTCCACCAGACCAGGTTGCTCAGTGAAGACGAATGATGTCGATGACACTTCAAATCAAGGAGTTTGTGAATAACCTTTCAGCTGAGGAATGAGAAAAGTTTTCAGGTGCCTCCATGCATGCAGCTGGGGTATCACCATATTAAAGACTGAGACAAAAATCCTTCAAGAGAAGGTTAAGTCAGGAGGGTAAAAATAATCAAATAGGAGATGAAAAGCTGGGAAGACATTTCAATAGCTGTTCAAACATACTGCAAAGAAAGGAACCAAAGCTGTTCTACACAAATCTAAGAAATGTGATCAAGAAGCACAAGGCAGCCGGGGAACGGGGGCATTTGGTTTCCCAGGATCCCTGTGTTGGTAATCCTGTCACTCTCCACTAGGAGATGTCTGGAGATACTGGAGCAAATGAACGAGGACGATAAGGAGAAACTGCAGATGGAACTGAAGGAACTGGCGCTGGAGGAGGAGCAGCTGATTCAGGAGCTAGAGGACGTGGAGAAGAATCGCAAGATCGTGGCCGAAGACTTCGAGAGAGTCAAGGCGGAGGCAGAGCGGCTGGAGCAGGAAGAAGCTCAGTGAGTGAACCAGAGCTGCGGCTCGTAGCGGGGATTTTAGGTAACAGATAAACAGGAATGTGACGTGGAGAAATGGGTAACTCACGCCCCATCCCAGTGTCCTTGGCAAAAGCGAGGTTGGCTGAGCAGAGGAGGAGTGCGGCGAGCGCCCACGCTTGGCATTTCTTGTCTTGCTCTCACCAAAAGGTACCAGAAAGAATACTGCGAATTCAAGAGGCAGCAACTGGAGCTCGATGATGAGCTGAAGAGCGTGGACAACCAAATGCGCTACGCCCAGATGCAGCTGGATAACTTAAAGAAAACCAACGTGTTCAACGCAACTTTCCACATCTGGTAACGTGGGCACCTGCCCCGCGCGGCAGCCCTGACGCCGCACCCGACG